AACTCCATGGATGCTAATGGTGATGGTAATTTTTTTTTATTTTATTTTTCTTTTCGTATTATGTTCTTTGATCGAGTTTAATTTGATTTTTTTTTCTTTCGATTTAAGTGATTTTTAAGAATTAATTTGGACTGTCTTTGAATATTAAATTTTACCTTGTTGAGAAAAGTCCTAATTGTTTTAACAATAAAATTTCTATAAACATGAATTTTGTGGGAAAAAAAAAAAAAAAAAAAAAAGAGGAAAGACAGAGAGATGTGTATTATATATAATTTTTATACTTTTTGACTTGTTTTAATGTTTAAGCATTTGTAATTCTAATCAATTTTTGTTATATATTGTGTTTTAATAATAAACTAAACCACTCCCTAAATTCACTTGCCACAGCCTTCTTGTACCGGTGGGAATGATTAGAGATAAGAAAAGTAGTGCTACTGTATTCAATTCTTGTTTTCCTCCCTGTTCGTAGGCAGTACGTTGGGTTAAGGGGAGTATAGTATTTCTTTTTTCTTTTTTTTTTTAAAAAAAATAAATTTGGTAATGTTTTTTCATTCCATTGGGTTGCTCTATTTTCAATTGTTTTAGAAACAAATCCGTTCTCGCATTATCGCCAATTTTTATCACATGCTTGCATACTCAACTAAGTAGTCATGTCATGCATTAATCAGTTTTGATGGTAATAATCTTTACTTTTGATAAGATACTTTTCATCATGTCATGCATTAATCAGTTTTGATGTTTGTATTATCCACTTACTAATTGTTACCCACTAACTGCCCTTGCTCAAACATTGGTTTTGACCTAGCTTGTTCATAAGACTGTGCTTTGCTTTGAATGATTTACTTGTGATATGTAGTTGGGCATTAATTATACAAGATAGTGCAATTAATAGTGGTTTCAAGCAAAGAGTTAAGATTCATATGGTAATTTTTGTGTTATAGTATTATATTCTCCTAAAACAACGTGATTCTTACTATATGTCGAAAATATTTGGTACAAAATATTGAAATTTATTTATGATATATTTGATGATTGGGATACATTTCTATCTATTTGGACAAATTTGATAAACTCTCCTGATGAATCAACATTTGATGAAGCTTGGAATCATTTTGAAATTCAATATAAAGAACAAAGATCTATTTTAAATTACATCAAAAGCACTTGGCTTCCATTCAAAGAAAGATTTGTAAATGCATGGACAGAGAAATATACACATTTTGGAAATCGTGTCACTTCAAGGGCTGAAGGTGCACATGCAACACTGAAGAGATATCTACAAGTTTCAATAGGTGATTTTCGGGAGGTAAAAGAAAAAATTTCTCTTGCAATTGAAAATCAATTTCAAGAAATAAAGACAAATCTTTTGAGTGAAAAGGTCTGTATTCCACATAAATTTAACATTTCTTTCTTCAAAGAATTTATTAATCATGTTTCTACATTTGCACTTGGGAAGCTTTATAAGCAATATGAGATAACCAAATCTGATAGACCATTGCCTCCATGAAAAATCATTTTTCAAGTACTATGGGTCTTCCTTGTGCACACAAGATAAGGAATGAGAAATATATAATTTTGCAGCTTGCTCATATAAATCCACAGTGGAGAATTGATAGATCATTTTTTGATATGGGTGTTGGTTTGATTAATCAAGAAGACCATATTGATGATCTTCTCAAGGAGTTCCATGATAAATACAAACAAATGCCACTTATTGAAAAGAAGATTCTCGGAAGCAAATTGCTCAACTTGTTGATACTTCCGTTCCTGTGATTCTTGCACCTAAAATTCAACCCCACAAAGGATGTCCATTGGGTTCAAAGGGAAAAAACAATAATAGTTCTACAAGTCGAGATCCTTCTGCATTTGAGATCGCTGAAAAGATCCGATAATGTGGTGTATGCAAAAACGTTGGGCATAACAGTCGCACTTGCAAACAGAAAGTTTGAACAATTAGATTGAGCCCTCAGTAATAGTTTTCCATGGAATTAAAGCGCTTTTGTAAGTTTTTTTATTTTTTTATTTATTTTTATTTTTTTATTATTATTTTAGAAGTTTCTTGTTATGTCCTTATTTTTATTTTTTGCAGGTGTAAAATTAATTTTTGGAAATTAGCTAAGATGTTGATAACATCATTATGCATGTAAGTTTCTTTGCTAGGTATTGATTTTACATTACGTATGCATTGAAGTTATTATCATATGAAAGAATGTTAATACATTTTTTACTCATTGTGCAGGTGATATGTCGTTTCCTTTGAGCTTGATTAGTTTATAAATGCTAATGGATGATGAAAATAGCTGGATAAATTATGAATGAAAAATGTAATTGAAGTAGTTTTTGTCATGTTGATTTCATCTTCACTTTAAAGATGATGTTAAAACTTATTGATGATTTCAGTGACTTTGAAATTAGATAATGGTTTTGGCTCTTTCAATGGCTTCCCCTTGATATCAAATCTTTTTTATTTTGCTAATAAAATGTTATAAATTGTGTTGAAGAATAATGTTTCTCCTAAATGTATTGCATTTTGACATAGAAAAGTATATTGCATGATGGGTATTTTCATACCCAAAAAGCTTCAAATGGTTACAGATTCCTCTTCGTGGCTATCGCAAATTCACCAAATGGGCTGAATTAAGTTGCTGTCACAATTTCTTAGATTGACCATGTATGGGAGACAGCAGTGAATCCGAAAGTGCTTGATAACCAGTTCGTCTAGCTACCCAAAAACAACTAAATTCTCATAGAACTTTCTGTCTTTGGTGGAGAGTTGGTCTTATTGGCAAATCCAGCCTCATATTTATATGGTTCTATAATGTTTTGTATTCTTTTTGCTTTAAAGAACCGGAAAGAAAACCAACCTACATTTGATCTCAATATTTGAACTAACAAGACGTATATTTGGAGTTCAAACTCGAAGTGATCGTAACAGGGACGCCACTTTCATATAGGTTTACTTACCGTCGGCGTGTCTAGGCATATGGTTATCAAAATGGTTTGTCAGATATTTCCACATCCAGGTACAAACTATGAACCCTCTCGCACGAAGCCAAAAGTCGGGTGAAACCCCTTCCTAACCGGAACCTTAGATGCTTTTCAGAAAAGGGGCATAAAAATGAGAGATACTTACCGTGTTGCGCTGAAAGTTTCTTCTAAAAAAATATCATCATTTGTTCACCTTTTAAATGGAAAAGGAGAACAATTTTCCTTTTTAATTTTTTTCCTGGATTGGCATACTTTTGGAAAGTATTGGGTTTAGAAAGGGTAGTTATGGTATAATAAAATAAGAATTGATGCATTAATTAGTTTAGGGGCATTTTTGTCATTCATTTTTAAGAGAAAAGAAAAGTGTAGAAGTGGAAAAAAATGGAGTACGATATTGCCTCCCATTTTTTATATGCTAAATGCTTAATAAACTAATCTCTCATTTCATGTGGACAAAAATGGAAAATACAACGATCTGAACCTAAAAAAATAAATAACGATATATCAGTAACTGCAAAAATTAATTTAATATCCCTTGATCAACCAGTTTCTTATATATAGTCCTCTTTCTAGAATTCTCTAAAAGGTCATTACCTTACACCTAAGCAAGGTGTTGACACCCGAAAATAGAAAATAGACCTAACCTTTAGAATAAGGTGCTGAGAGATGCGTATGGCATTACCTTCTACTTACACTCAGTGCATCTAATGCTGTAGAAGGACCGCGGTCGGTCTTGGTGTCATGTCGGCACTACGCAACAAAATCGGTTACTGCAGTTGTGATATTTTTTCTTCCATTCTTAAGATATTTTGATAAAGAAATATCTATTTTCATTTTTGGAATTTTAATAAATTTTATTTATTTTTTAAAACTCATTTAAAATGGGTAATGATTTATTTATAAATTATAACTACCTGTCTTTTTTTTAAAAGTTTAGTAATTATATATTTTGACTAAAATCAATGAATACTAGTTGAATTAAGAATGAAATAATAAACATTTATACCATATTTAACATGTTAGAAGAAAAAAATTTATAATAGAAGTAACCTTCCCATGTTTTTAACATTTTAAAATAACCTATCATTGAAAAAAAAAAAAAAAAACTAAACTAAATTAATAAATATTAATATTGAAGTATCATAAACTAAAATAAAAGTAGGCTTTTCAAATAGTAGGTCAATAAATAAAGATCATTCGTATAAATGGTCTGAATTTCAACTCACCCCGAAATTTTGGTGCAAAGGGTTCGTACCCACCTAATCAACTGGTCCGGCGAACCATGGTTTCCTTTGGGAATTAGTTTGGAGGGGACTGGTCCGGCGAACCATGGCTTTTGGGAGTGAATCCCCTTTAGTTTGGAGGGGTCCTGCACCCAACTACGTCATTTTGAAACACAAATACGAAAACCAACATGAATTCTATATCATTTTGATGCACAAACACGGAACCCAACGTAGGCTGCATAGAGCCCCAAACAACATTGTTTTGGTGCACAGCACTATGCACAAGACCCTCCAAACAGGAGGTGATCCTGATCCACTTTGAAGATGTGAACCAGACACACATGAGCAAAGTACCACCTAGCTTAGAGGTGGTTGGAATATTAACAGTTTTAACCTGAAAAGACGGAAGTCCCATAAATATTAACGGTCTAAACCTGAAAGGATGGAAATCCCGACTCCTCCACAATGACAGAAGTCCCGTGCACTAGTCCAAAGTCGTAATGCAAAAAGGCATATATCACACCAACTAAACCTACAGACAATGAAACAGTCTCATAAGCAAGCACACAAATTGACGAGTGCATCGATTATCAAAAGATTCACTACGGGTGCATTCCATCAATTTATTAATGAGACTTACTTGTATAAGATAACAAGTTTTTGTGCAGAAGCAGGTAGACCTGTTCAAGAGAGAACGCAGAGAAGGATATATATATATATATATATATATATATATATATATATATATATATATATATATTTCAAAAGAAAAAAGGAAGGAACAGCTGATAAATTATCTACTCTCTTTATATACAAAAGCAGGTTTTAACAAATGCTTCACTTTGTCCTTCAAATCTTCTATACCTTTCACAAATAGAAAATATACAGCAAGAAAATGAATGAGAGAGCCCAAAAATAAAGACACAGAAGCCACCTCATAGGAATATTACAACTAACAAATCAATATACCATGGAGACAAAGCACAATCATAATCCAATGATACTTGCCTCCAAAAGAATATGCATCTAACTTAAGAGCCTGTCGAATTTCCAACCCCATATGTCAACCCCAAATTTGCACAATGTAACTGTAACAGCCACTGCCCATATATCAATGCAGCTATGCGACTACCACTTCTAGCACTAAGCCCCATATAAACAGTTTTTGGAAGCCTCAGCCATTCTCATCCAGCAACTGATTTTTTAAGAACTGGCAGTCCAATATTTCCAGCAATTTGAAAATTTTACAAATAGTGCCAACCAGAATTATAATCAAGCACCAACCCCCACCTAAATAAGTCTGTGCTGACGCAAGCCCCCCTTCCCAAAGTGAGGTTGCATCAAACGGAGGTACAAACCATTCTTTGCCACTAATGAATCATGGGTCCCTTCCTCAACAATTCGCCCTCCATTAAGAAGTACAATATTGTCAACATGCTTCATCATGGCTGCTCTATGTGCTATCAGAATGGTTGTTTTGTTCCCCATCACCAATGTGTCAAGAGCTTCCTGCACCACTCGGCTTGACTCTGACTCGATGGATGAGCTTGCTTCATCCAATAACAAAATGGGTGCATTCTTAAGCACAACCCGAGCAATTGCAATCCTTTGTTTCTGTCCTGGGGTTAGATCAACGCCCCTCATCCCCACATGTGTGTCATAACCATGAGGCAAGCCACTGATAAAACGATGAGCATTTGAGATTCTTGCTGCCTCTTTCATCTCAGCTTCACTTGCATTATGTCTTGCATATATGATGTTTTCCCTAATGGTTGTTGAAAAGATGATTGGTTCCTGCTGAACAAGACCAAGGTGGTTCCTCAACCATCTCAAGTTGAAAAGTTTTAAATCTCGTCCATCCAGCAAAATCTGACCAGCAACTGGGTCATAAAATCTCTCTATCAAAGATATTATACTGCTCTTCCCAGACCCTGAAACTCCCACCACGGCTACAGTTTGTCCCCCATTGACTTTAAGACTGAAATTGTTCAATATCAACATTTCTGGACGAGTTGGATAAGAAAAATCGACATTTTTTAACTCAATACTTCCATAGACATTAGGGGGTTTCAATGCCGAGGTATCATCTGGGTCAATCTTAGGCACTCGATCTATAATTTCAAATACTGAAGTAAGAGACTTCCGTCGTTTAAGTATATAGGGCGCCAAGCCAAAGGGCTCCACAAGTGCAAATGTCACGAAAGAGAACACCATGTATTCCTTAATAGCCGTTGGTAGATCCATGTATTGATTTTTAACAGAAAGTGCAGCGTACCAGAGAAGAAGAGCATTGCAGGCAAAAAGAAGGAACTGCGAGAAGCCGAAGCCAAAACCAATTGCCATTCCATGTAGGAAGCTCTGTCTGAATGTTTTCTGTAATTGCAATCTGTAAAGCTCCATGACTTTGTTACCAGCACAGAAAGCAACAACAGTGTAGATGTTTCTAACTGCATCCTCAAGGACCAAAGATGCCTTCCTGTGCATCTCCTGTATGCCTTTGGAGAATCCAGCAAGCCACAATTTCTGTAAATTAAAAGTGGTAGCCACTCAGGATTTACTGATTTGGAGAGCAAAGGATCAAATAGATTATAGTGCTTCATTTTCAATTTTAGAATTTGGAAGCAATACATGGAAATAAAGCTTCATCATTGAGGTAGTCTTCATTTTTTTTTTTTTTTTTTTGGGCTCCATATAGAGGTAGTCTTCATTCAAGAAAATAAATTCAGTTTGCATGCTTCCTAATGAGACCAAGAGAGAACAACAATCCTCTAGTAATTCTGATACAATAAGAATAATATAAAATCCTTTGCACGCTTCCATATAATCTTCACACCAATCCCCAAGAGTTTTGTGGAGTAAATTGTAAGTGTTGGGCCTCCTTCATTATAGATAATGTAAAACATTCCTCCAAGTTAAAATACACAATTGTCCTCATTCGTCCATTTATTTAAATAAATAAATAAAATTGAAGTTTTGAGGATATCTTAAACAGAAATATTGGAAATTTTGTCCTTCCACATAGGCCAAGCGCGTTGATTATCAACCAAGTGAACCACAAACCATTTCTTCAAAAGGTAAGAGAGAAATGGAAGCCAAAAAGGTGTGCAGCAAGGCATAAAATTCCCCCGATTATCTCATTCTCGGCCCTTTAAAGGGTTCTCCTTCATTACAGATAATATAATACGCAATTGTCCTCATTCATCCATTTTTTAAAAATATATATTTTTAAAAAGGGTCCTCTTTTAGTTGAAGTATTGAGAATATCCTCAACAGTAATATTGGAAAATTTTTCCTTCCACATAGGCCAAGCACGTTGATTATCAACCAAGTGAACCCCAAATCATTTCTTCAAAAGATAAGATAAATGGAAATAAAAAGGATCAGTAAAGCATAAAATTCGTAGAGTCGATTATCTCATTCTTGAACCTTCAAAGGTGAGAATCAACCCGCCATGTATACAAGGAAGGGGCAGAGCTAATACTTTTGTAAATCAATCATTTTAATCTTTATAAATCCCCTTCAATGTTCTATTTTTCATTAAAGAATAACCCCGTAAACCTGACTACACTACAATGTCATTTTTCAACCCATACGCAAAAACAGAGAAGAAACTAAAGCAAGAGTTTTGTGTCCCCACGGCAATCAAGAACTGCTTTTGATCCAAATTTATATTTTTACTTCAGTTTTTTTAAATTTAGCAGACACGGGATGTAGGCTGGTCAAACTACATTATTGGATCTTTAAAAGTGGTCTTCAGTAGGTTTAAGTAGTCTTAATAGGAGAAGTTTCATAACCACCAATTTCAAAGTCATAGTCCTTTTTTTAAAAAAAAAAGTATATTTCAAAGTCATAGTCCTAGTAGCCTTCAATTCAATAGATCCGAATCATGAGAATTTGAAATTGTGTTTTGTGATGCAACATTAGGGAGGTTGGTGTAATTGCGGACATTCTTTTCACACTAGTGCAATTAGACCTAACCTCAAAACACACTGTATGTGATTATTCCTGTTCTTTATGACATAGGATTATTGTTGTTCTTTAAAAGATTTTCTTTATGGCATAATCACTATTAGTTTCATTACCTAGAAAAGCAGAGCTATCAACAGGTCAAAACCAAAAGGTCTAGATAGAGAGCTTGAGTCTGATCCCATGGCATAGATGATTGGTTCTAGATGTTTATACCCAGAAATGGTCGAGAAAATAAAGACGTGATAGAATACAAGAACTGAGTTAAACAATGTAGGGAAAAAATGTGAATGTATTAAAGTAAGAATAGAAGGATTTGACAAAGAAACAATCCTTATGTTGAATTAAATAGTAATCAGTATTAAATTAGTAAAAATAAAGTACTTGAAGATTATATTTTAAAAGAGTCATCTTCTAAAAACACTCTTAAATGATGATTTCAAGTTGCAAATTCTAAGAAAGAACTCTTGTTACAAGAATGCGAAAATGTAACAAATGACCATATATTTTCGAAGGTACAATGGTCAGCAATGAAAATAACAAATAGAGGTTTAACAGACTTGTCATCTGATTGATATTCAGGATCGTATATATTTGTGTACAGTAATAGCATCCCCATTTAAAGCCTTAGAAAAGGGAGACGTGTTGGAGTATATAGCACAAGATGTTATTTCAATTGAAGCTTAAAGTTGCATTACATCTGCATATCTTGGCTAATGTTACAACTATATTATAAAGGCAAAGATGCCAAAAACATGGAAGAAAAGTGCCAAATGTTAATATATATATATGTGTGAACATTATATATGCATATCTTGGGTTACAACTGGATTATTAAGGCAAAGATGCTAAAAACATGGAAGAAACTCATCAAATATCTATAAATAAGATTTTTCTCCCTTTTTTATTAAGCTTATCAACCCTTCATTCTTCTGTTTTTCCCCCCTTAAAAAAAATTTACTAAAAAAGATTTCTTTTTAGTGAACTTGTCACAGCTTGCTCCTATTTTCTTTTATTTTGTTAAGAAACGAAGCAAGAAGTTCAATTTTATCTCCTTAACAGCAGTAACGAAGCATCAAATTATCAGCAAATTTATGCCTTTTTTCTACTTCTTATCCAAGTGTCTGGGTCTTTTTCCTGCCAACTAGGGCCCTTCCTTCACTACTCACATGAGAAATAACTACTACTATACCTCAGGAAGCTTACCTAGCCGGCAGATCTAATCAAAGTTCTATTAGAAGTGTGGCACTAGCATCAAACATACAGGTCATGCCATATTTCTCTAGGATATGGTGATTATGCAGAAGTAGATATTAAAACCATGAGTGTCATGAATCAGTATTGTCTTTTTCTTTCTATTCCTTTTCGGGTACTGTTAGCATACATGATAGCCACTATTTATGGAATGACTTACAATATTAGCAAAGATTTGATAGCCACGAATCATAGCATAGAATATGCCATAGAATATGTTGTGATTTGATTTAGAATTGATTTGATTTCCTTTCTTATAATTCGAGCATGTGCTCTATTTATCTATAAATACTAGAGCTGTGAATGAGTAATTTATCGTATTCACGCCTTTACACAATTCTCTCATTTTTCTTCTTTTTATATTTCTACTTGTTGATTTTTCCATCTACATGTTTTAAACACGTGTATGAAGGGAAATGGTCTGAAGAGACATTGTTTGTTGTTTAGGGTCTAAGGAGACGTGATTGGTTGTTTATGGTCTGAGGAGACATTGTTTTATATATATATATATATAAATAAAATGTATTAGAAAGCGTTCAAAAGGGAAACGCATCCCAAAAGATATACAAAAACCAAACAAGAACCCTATGGACCCAAAGAACCCAAAAAGTCCACAATTTCTCCCCATCACCCAACTAAAAAGAGAACTAATAATAGCAAATTTCAGCGCCCCAACGGAGGTTTCCTTCCCATCAAAAGATCTATTGTTTCGCTCTTTCTAGATGCTCCACCAAACACAAAGGGGGATCACCCTCCAACAGACACAAGCATGGCCCCCCACCCTTTGCCCCTCCAAATGTCAATCAATTCCCTTGAAGGCCAAGGCATAACGCAATGGATGCCAAAAATACCAAAAATAAGACTCCAGCACTCATATGCCATAGAATATGTTGTGATTTGATTTAGAATTGATTTAATTTCCTTTCTTGTAATATGAGCATGTGCTTTTTTTATCTATAAATACTAATGTTGTGAATGAGTAATTTATCTTATTCAAGCCTTTACACAATTCTCTCACTTTTCTTCTTTTTATATTTCTACTAGTACAATCAATATATTTATCATATACATGATCGTCACAAAAAAAAGAATTCCTTAGACGGTTAATGCAAAGGTTTATCTTAGAAATCTGGAGAGTATCATATGTCTATCTATATGGCAAATTTTAGAGAATAACTATATATTAATTTCGTATACTGTCATGAATGATGGTATGAACACCAAAACTCTAACTTGGTTGAGGACAAGTGGCATGCAAACAGATGAGTTTCATTCTTCAATAGACTTGAATCAACAGGTGATACGGTCAATTTTAACCAGGGATAAAACGATTGGACATATATAGGATGGAGACCAATGACTTTGGTCATATAAAGGCAGCATTTCAACTAGTGAGGCTACCAGAAGGCATAAGCACATTGTGTAAAGATGATTTAGAATACACACCTTTAAAGATAAGCAAAACAAGGGATAATATAATTATATATGTAATAGAATCATCAAAAGCTTTGGAATAGAAGCACGGAGAATGGTTAAGATGATGACCACGAGATTTCAAAGCAAGACCATTTTCATTATCTTAGTTATATATTCAGGAGAGTATGAGAACAGAACTGAGCTAGATATATAAAGTGAACATGCAGCATGCAGGCCCAGGGTGGTGAACAATTGTCATATACTTATCAAATTAAAATTGGAAAAAAAAAAAAATAGAAAACCAAGATAAGACAAGTATTGCTTCGGAGAATGCATTGTTGTTGAATCAATGCAAGTAATAGGTAGGTGTTATGGGTTCTTGTCCCACATTGAATCCGGATGGGGAGGTCTTGGGCTTATAAAGGTGGGTAGGTAGCACCACCTAAAAGCTTAAGCTTTTGGGTCGGATTACAAGCGCCAGACCAGCGTATCAAAGCAGGCATAATCCTTGATTCGGTGTCACGCCAAGCACCCACATGGAGGGTCGCGTCTGTGACCATGTCTTTACCGAGTCCTCCAACGCTAGGGTGAATGGGTAGGCAAGGTGGTTTGACCACAACGAGGGCATTGCGAGTTCAGTTGGGAGGAGAATGTTATGGTTTCTTTTTCCACATCGGATCTGGATGGGGAGGGTCTTGGGCTTATAAGGGCGGGTAAGTAGCACCACCTAACATCTTTAACTTTTGGGCTGGATGGCAAGCACCTGGCCCATTACAGTAGGTGTCTATGAAATCACTGTAGCTTTCAAGATATGACAGTTTAAAAAGAATGCATATATTAGCTAATTGATTCATAATATTCAAATGAAAAAATGTAGTAAAGCTAGATGAACAAGTCAGAAAATTTGATATAGTCCAATAGACCATAGCAGTTCCTTTACATGGAGTAATCTCTCTAATCATGGATAAATTGAAGCTAGCAGATCCCACAAGTTATTTTGCAAATTAGTTATGATTTAGTAGTCTTTTACTAAAGCTTCACCAAGAAGACAAAATCTCAAATGATTCAGTAAAGCTCATAGTGATTATCGATCTCTATCACCAATTCATTATAGTTTTACTATAAATTTTAGGGCCCGGTTTCTCCCTTGGGAACTAAGTTGAGAAGGCCAGCAAAATGGTAGATTTCAGGTTGTAACTTTACAATAATTTTTAGAGGAGTTGTCCCATTTCTCTTCTGTTGTACATTGAAAATGAAATAATTATAAGACCTTGAACACAAAATCGGACTTTAGACTTTACGTGAAAAAAGAAAAGCAAAAAAGAATTGCATTGATAGATTTGTTAGTGCTTAGACCATTTCCTAATCATTGGGGTAATATATTTCAAAGAGCTCTCAAATAATTCTTAAGAGGAAACATAAATACTCTTTTGACAGAGAATGGTCACCAATCGTTTGACAGAGAATGGGCATTATAAACGAAATAAAATGAGTATATATCCATATATGTTCACTACGTTCATTAGTGAATTGAGAAACAAAATGGGAGTCAATTGTTGAATTTATCTTGAAAACAGGTAGATATGGCACAAACCTGGGCAATAGCAGAAACAGTAAGAATGGGTAGGGTTGCCAAAGCCACTAGTGCCAATTGCCACTGTAGTAACATCCCTATAAGAACAGCCACAACAACAGCTGCACTGTCTTGTATAAATATAGAAAGCCGGTTGCTAAAAGCAGCTCTCACAAACGTAGCATCATTTGCTAAACGAATGGATAAGGTGTCAGCACCATTCTCATCTTCATCAAACCATCCAACTTCACTGCGCAACATTGCTGTAACAGTAAATGAATAAGAACAAATCAAGGTTCGGACAGCTTATGCACTCACAAGAAGGTAGCCGTGCATATGCATAACAATTGGAATGGAGATGGACTGTTATTCGCCATGAGTTAGAAGTACACAAAGAATATGCTAAACTGAAAAATATATATACTTTTATTCCAAGAAAGAGTAATATACCTGAGAACATCATTCTCCTTACTCGTTCAGTCATTTTCTCCCCCATTATACCAAAGTAAAAGTGCTGCAGAAAATTGGCAACCACTGTCACAATACCCATGCAGGCAATGATTAAGCACCATTTGTCTACTTCCTGTCGTAGGCTATTATGATTTTCATTCTCTCTATAATATGCTGTAACTATTAGCGCAATAACATAAGCAAGAAGCGGATTAAAAGACCCAAAGATAGCGGCACCAATGCTTCCTAAAGCAGCATAAAGCCACTCTGCAAAGCTAAGCTCTACAAGCCTCCAAAATGATGGCGCTTCCTGACATTGTGTATCCTTTGCTTCCTTCGTTTTCATTGGTATGTCGTCAGATTGGTTATATGGTCGACTAAAAGTTTGTGAATGAGAACGTTCATTTTGTGGATCAGATGTCAGGAGTGGTGAAACGGGGGATTCAGGATCTAAACCATTGGATGTTTGTCTGTGCGTAGACTGAACATCAATCTTTGGTAACTCTGGCAGCAGCATCTCAAAACTGTCCTGCCTTCTTATAGATGGTTCCTTATCCGTCGCACCCAAGTGCCCACCATTTTCCACCTTTTGTTCTGGTGGGCTATGAAGTCTTGGTGATTCTTGTGAGTTGAATGTAACATCCGTAGGTCGAAATACATGGAGGGAAGAAACTCTCTGAAGAGATGGTGATTTGATTAGTTTAGGAGATGATGGTTCTTGGAAGCTGTGACCTGTGGATGAATCTTTTTCAATTTGAAAAGCAGAAGTTTCCTTATAGTTCCTCATTGGCATCCTGGACAGACATATAGGACATAAAAGAGTAAAAAAAATCAATTTTTAGTACTTTAAAAAACTAGATTTCAATTATTGATGAATGACTAATTGCAGTAAAAATGATAATCTTAAAGACACTGTGTCTAAAGGAGAACCATGATAAGCTTGGGAAACCCAGTGTTGGTCCATCCTATGCAGGGCTGGGAGGGGAGAACAGGGAAGATAGCTAGATATAACCTTTGGGATTATATTGGGCAATTATACAAGATAATTTACCATGTTCAACAAAAGCATAAGTTTGCTCGTGTACAGTACCTCCTAGGAAGTTTTGCTGCCTCTTCACATCTAAGAAGTTCTGCATATAAACCATCTGTGGTTATTAATTCATCATGTGTACCCATTTCAACTAGTTGACCTTCCTCCATCACCGCAATGTAATCAGCATTTTTTATAAGACTAAGCCGTCGAGCAATAATTATAGTTGATCTTCCTAACAACAGGAGATCTAGAGCCTCCTGAACAGATGTTTCAGCTTCAATGTCAAGTCCACCGGTAACCTCATCAAGAAGAAGAATAGATGGACTGGAAAGAACAGCCCTTGCCACGGAAAGTTTTATTTTCTGTTCTTCTGTCAGTGGTAAACCAGCCCTACCCACCTGCAGGTTGGAAGAACTATAAGAGAAGATAATTGCCAAATGGCAAAAGAAATGATCAAGAGAGCTCCCAGTAAATAAAATAGGTTAAGGTAAATATTTATTCTTTCAGATTTTACCTGTGTCTCGTATCCATTTTCAAGCAAGCTAATAAATGTATGTGCATGCGCTATTTTAGCAGCTTCTTCAATCTGATCCGAAGTAGCGTCTGACCGCCCATAAGCAATATTGTCTCTAATACTCAAACTTAGCAAGGCAGGTTCCTGGGTGACCAAACCAATTTGGCTTCTTAGCCATTCCAATTTCAAGTTCTTAATATTTTCTCCATCCAAAAGGACTTCACCTGCACCACGTAACAGAAAAACAATTGGAATATGCGAAAAGACAGCATCCCTCATGGTTTTAGTGAAACCTTAAATTAGATAATATGTGCAGCAATTGTCATGAGAAGTTAATTTGGTCATAATACCTAAGTTAGGGTCATAAAACCGTTCCATGAGCGGTATAATACTGCTTTTTCCAGAGCCATTTCTGCCAACAAGTGCCACAGCCTTTTTAGCAGGTACAGTGAGGTAAAACCCACTCAAGATTGGAATTTCAGGACGGGAGAGATAGCTGAAATATACATTTCGAAACTCGATGTTTCCTTGTACTGAAACTAGAGTAGTTCCATCTTGATTAACAGTAGAGGATGAATGCTTTATCATATCAAAAAGTCTATGAGCAGCAATTCTCCCTTGCTCAAATGAATAGAAGTTTGTTGCCGCTTGATTCAACCCACTATGAAGGTACAAGAAATCATATATAAGAAACACATTAAAAATGAGAGGAAGGAAAAGGAAACAATTAGTTGCTTACAGGCCACTTAAAATAATGGCAAACAGAGCTGTAATAATTTCACCACCATGCGCTTTTCCATGTATAATCAGGAACCTTCCAACCCAAAGTTGCAAGGCACAAGAACAAATAGCAAGCCCATACGTAAATCCAAGTCCAAGTCCTTGCACAAGACTTATCATTATACCATATCTCAGTGTCACTTGTAGCGAAGTTGCATAAGAATATTTGGCCAATGTTTCGTTTGTAAATGCATATAAGGTTCTAATATAAGAGATCGCCTGCAAATTTAGAAAGATAATGTTTCACGTCATATAATCAATAGCAATTAAAAACCTACATAATGACAACTAGCAAACCAAGCACTAGGGGTGCAACTTGGGCGGGCTAGCCCAGCCCACCCGAATCCAACCCATAAATTTTAAAACTTGGACATATAAATTCACAATTCGGGATTAAGTCGGATTGGGTTTTATCAAAACACAACCTTATTCGGTTTGGGTTGGGTTCAATCCAAACCCAACCCGAAAGCCCAAATTAAACATTTCATGCCAACACAACCCAACTTAGCAGCAAATTTGAATCATCTAACCCACGATAAACACAAACCCTAACTTTCTCTCTCCTCATCCTTCTCTTCTCTCTCTATATCACCTTCCTACTGATCTCCCGCGAAAGTCAAAATGAGCAGTGATATTTGTATATATATATATGTTATAGCGACTTAAGCTTGGTAATGTTATTGATTGTTGTTCAAAGAGTACTGTATCGTTGTTGTTCTTATAGTGATATATGTATATATATATGTATGTATATTGAAAATATTCCACCATTGACTAACAGGGGTTTGAAATCTTCTATGGCCTTCTGAAGGCTATGACTATGTGTGCATCAGACTAATTCATAGAAAACTTGTGGAATATTCCTAGGAATTAGGCAATCTTTCTGGGTTCAGTGATTGATATTTCTAGGAAAAGTAGTGGAATCTTTAGCAATTTTCTTTTACCCCTAGTGTTACTGGTTGGGATTTCAAGCCCTGTGAAGGTGGTTTCAAGATATGGGTTTTGAACTTTTGACTCTTGCAAATAGATAGATAAACTTTAGTATATGGGTTTTGAACTTCTGATTCTTATAGATTTTGTAGTTTGCAGTTGCAAAGAGAGAGAGGGCAAGTTTGCAGTTGAAAAATATTTTGTTTTAGTTACTAAAAATATAATCAAATATAAAATACTTGTGTGTGTGTGGGGGGGGGGGGGGGGGGAGCTCAACCCGTGGACCCGACCCGACCGAAAATATTCGGTCTGGGTTATAACCCAACCCATGTTGGGTACAATTCGGGCTGGCCCAACCCAACCCGATTTCGGGTTGAGGTTGGGTTGGGACTGGGCTAGGTTGGGCCAGCCTAACTTGCAGCCCTACCAAGCACCCATCAACATCAAACTTATGTTTACTTACTACGTTCAACACTTGTATGAACACTTAAAAAGAAGCCCATTATCACGTAACTAAAAGAATATGAAGTACTAGGGTTTTATGCCTTTCTGTTCAACAAGAAACTTTATCATCTTTTTACTACATCTGCAAATGTTATACTCAATGTTTCTTCTGCATTAATGCATACCACACAAGAATCTATAAATACCAAAATTCCACAAATTTGAAACACACATAATCGGGTTACCATGCATAAATTTTATAAGTGAGGCAATAAATATGAGAAACGGAAAATGAACATTTGAAGGACACGGGCATGGCAGTATCCTTCTAAACTATACTTACATAGATTAGCAAACAACGAAGGACACATATCATATAATTCTCAAACAAGCACATATGCATATAAATGGCGCAATTACCAAATAATTCAAGCACAACTTCACGGAAGATCAAGAAAAGCCGGAAATGGATGGCACCCAAATCTTTCATTAACATAAAATAAAATTCACAGCCACAAACAGATATATTAAAGCAACCATTTAGCACATTGAATTCTAAACTCTATGCTACTACAAGTAAAATTTTGCATGTGATCCTGTGAGAAATCCCAGCTAAATTACCAAAAAAGTTAACCAGAGTCAACGATAAATAACCTTCAGTAGACAGAAGGGTGTAAAAAGAATAAAGGGGTTGGGGACCGACCTGTTCAGCAATGCTTGCTGCTTCAGCATATGCATCTTGAATATTCTCAGCAAGCCTATGAAGAAATATATTTGATACTCCTCCTGCAGCAACAATAAATGGGCCTGTGGCTAAAGTTATCAAGGCAATCTGCCAACAGTTGACAAATCCAATCACCAGGCCACTGAAAAAGGTAGCCATGTTGTGAATATAATTTCCAACCTGTCATGTCAAGAGCCAATCAAGAGATTAAACAAAACATTTTTATCAAGAAACCAACTTAGAAAGAAGCCAACTTTTGTAAAGAAAATATATAAATCTCTTTTAAGACAACATGTTAGATCTAAACATACTTTTTCACTAAGAGCAGACTGGATGAGCAGCACATCACCTAATACTTGGCTCACAATATCTCCATTGTTCCCATATGTATCAAAAAAGCTCATGTCCTGGTTAAGTAAAACTTGAACATATTTTGACCTGATCACGGCAGTCTGTCGTTCTCCAGTAAGAATCCAACATGACACCTCTAACATAAAAATGAGTTAGTATTGATACCTACAAAGGAGCATCATCCATGAGACAAGACAAGCAATCGAAGAATATAGTTATATAATAAATTTGTTGCTTACCAATCCAACCAAATGCAAAAACACCCGCGGCAATATAAACAATGGTCAAAGCAAGCTGCAGAAATAACAAACTATAGTTAATAGACAATCAACTTCTACAAACACACAAAAAAAGAAAAACAGAAAAGAAATAGACAATCTGCTTCAGCTTGAAACTTCTTTTTAACAGATAAAAAGTACAATGCATCAAAGAAGTCACTTCTGCAGATTAGATATTTTCCAAATGATTAAAATGAACGAAACTTGGTATCAGCATTAATTGTCTTTCGTGTTTTTTACTTCAGTATTGGTGTAAGAAGAGAGTGGCAAGAAAGAAAGGGGGTGTTGGAGTTAATTTGTGTGTTCTCAAGGAAAGAACATTTAACTTACTGCAAAAGAGAAAGGCAAATAGAATTCTTCCCACCTGCTATCAATAAATCAAGCTCATGAAGGGTTGCCCAAATAGGAGAACAACAAAATAAAAACACATACAACAAACCTTTTCCCAATATCTGGAGATAATATCTGGCAACACCGCCAGTAGCATAGAAACATTTGGATCTAGAATGGATCAAAATTAAAATTTGAGCAAGAACATGTGGCCAAAGACAAGTGTTTTAACAGGGTGAAGAAAGTTTGTTAAAAGATGAGTATCTAGTTCAGTGTTCTGCATTGAAGTACAATTTTTTAAAATCATACCACAAAAACGGAAGTCATGCTAAACCAATATGGCTTTTCCTCTTGCCCATTTCACCAAACCAAAATCTTCATTTTGACAAGTAAATTTTTAATTCTAGTCTAAACTTATCGTAATGGCATTCCAGAGGATAAGGTTTAGAAATATGCTTGGTTTGTGAATTTTTTCTGATGGACGAATTTAGAGAGTCTGGATTTATTCACAATGAGGGAAAACTAAAGAATACATTGCTATCCTACTTCTATTAATTGTTTCAGAACTAGGAGACTGAAAAAGTTACTTTATTCCTTCAGATGTTGTATGACACTAGTGAAGGTGCAAATGCGATTCTTTCAAGGAGGACATCTAGCAGTTTCCCTCTGGTTGCTTCCTAGTACAAGTATTTTCGAACTCAGACATTCAATAAGCTTCACTTCAGTCAAGACATTTTCCACTCACCCCTCAAAAATAAGTACTAGGAAGTCCATGCACTTCTGTCTTCTTCTCTCATTTTCTCCTTTTCACAGTAGTTTAGATCAACCTATGTTAGGGACACTCCAATATGGGTAGAATTGTACAATTCAGGTGCCAGACAAACATGACTTGGTATACTACTGTCTGACAATTCCACAATAGTAGCACCCAGTGTAAGAATAAAGGGATGTACCTTGTCTGCTCAATTTTTCATTGGATACTTTCTAAATATTTTTAATTGTTATGACAAACACAGCGAACCCAAGCAACAATCACAAGACACAATAGAAAGTAAACACACCACATACAATGAACACAAAGATTTAGCGTGGTTCGGCATAGCCTACATCCACAGTGAAGATCCGGCGAAAGTTTTCACTATGCGAAAATCTAAAGATTACGAGTTTCAGCCCCCACCCCCAAACCCTAGCTCTCGTTCTCACTCTCTTTTCTGCAATTTTCAGTGTCTTTCAATATCCCACTCCAAACCCTAAACGCCCTTATATATTGGGTTACAAGAGAGTACTAATTAGGGTCCAAGACCCACAAGCAAAACCGATCAAAAAAAAAAAAAAAACAAAGCTCATTCAACGGGTAGTCGGGTCGTAAACGAGACCCGGCACCAAATTCGTGCCACAACATCACATTAATCATTACATGAAATTGCTTGGTGAAATTGCAAATGCTGGGGCTAGCAAGCTTAAGGACACAAGTTCAATATTGAAAGCAGCTACTTTGTGAAAAATTATACCAAAGGTTAGGCATGTGACATGCCTCCAATCTTATGCTCCTAGCACCATGCATTTGTATTAGCAGCAACAACAATGGACATGAAATTTTCAAAATGATGAATTTAAAGAGGAATGTCAGTTGATTAATTTAAAGGTGAATTAAAAGAGCGGCAAACTACAATGACCTCCCTTGAGGTTTAGCCTAATTGCAACTAAACCTGAGGTTTGCCCTTTTTTTGCACCGTGTCCCCTGAGGTTTGCCCAATTTTGCAAAGACCTCCCCTCTGTACAAAAAATGGTACTCTTTGTCAGAAAATTTGGTTGAAGTGACTAAAATGCCCATCAACTAAGTGTAAAAGACCTCATTACCCTTATAGTGTCATGAAATAACAAAAAAAATCATGCATTAGTGGACCAAATTACCCTTTATATATATGACATTATGACCCATTATAGTAAGCTTTAGTGCACATATATATATATACACACACACATAAACACACAGAGAGCTCCATCTCTTTATTAACCAGAATAGCTTCGAAAAAGCTTCAGTGAAAATAAAATATTGCATAGATACAGATTGGGTAAGAAATATATATATGTTTATATATACAACCATATGTTAAAACCAACAATCAAATATATATAAATATATATATATATATATATACACACACATATATATACACAATCGTATGTTAAAACCAACAATCAAATATATATAAATATATATATATATATATATACACACACATATATATACACAATCGTATGTTAAAACCAACAATCAAATATATATAAATATATATATATATATATACACATATATATACACAATCGTATGTTAAAACCAACAATCAAATATATATATATATATATATATACACAAAACCCAGCATGTAACCCAACTATCAAGTATCAACCAATTTAATATAAATATGTAGATTGTACATATATAATACCTATTTAGAGAGATAAAGTGAATTAATTTTTTTTATGTTGAACCCGCCACCAAATCCGAATCACCATCTCCATCATCAATGTCTGCACCTTTGAAGCACAAACCCTACAAGAAATGGATCAAATTCTGAATAAATGTTCACGGCAGCTATGGCTTCAATTGTGGCAATTTGGTATTCAATTTCTTCACTAATTTTACAACTCATTTAAGCAATTATTTGAATTTCATCATTCTTTTCAAATCTTTTCCATTATCCACGTCGGAAGAACCATCATCGCCACCGCTTCCTCCGCCATCACCTTCCACTTCCAGTCGCTCAAGCACTGTGCATAGCTTGAGAGACCCAAAATGAAAGCACTGTGCATCAGCTCTAAAGAGGCGGCGACATACCCAATCGGAGAAGCTCCATCAACGCAAAAATTGGTCAGTGTAGTCACATCACTATCAAAGTCGATGATCGGAAAGTTTCAGACGGTGGCTTGCCGAAGCGACATAGCTCTTCACTGAACTGAATCACATGGGACTAAAGCACAACGGATTAAAGGTCACCAGACTAAAACACAACTGACTGAATCTCGCCGGAACTGAAGCACGCCGAAACTTGGTGGCGATGGTGGAAATGAGAGAGAAATAACAGAGAGAAGAAAATGGTCCTAAGAGATGGTGGTGGTAGGAGGTTGATTGGTGGTGGCGATTAGGGGTGGGGTAGTGGCTGAAGAGAGAAGAGAGAGGAAAGAGAAGGATGGGAGGACGAAAAAGAAAGAAAAAAAAAAAAAAAAAAAATTGTGGTTGTAAGTAAAGGGGTAAAATAGTCATTTGATATTTTTAGATATTTTTAATAATAAAATAGTAAGGGTAAATAAGTAAATTCACAGCAAATTTTGACATAGGGGGTCTTTGCAAAAAAATGGCAAACCTCAGATTTAGTTGCAATTAGGCCAAACCTCAGGGGAGGTCATTGTAGTTTGCCCTTAAAAGAGGTCTATGACAATTCATCCAAATCCCAGGCCCTAAATTTAGGAATTAGACAAATCTCACACCAAGACAAGCATCGATATGGAGCATGTGCAGTCGAGTCCATGTAACAAAGACACCACTCGATCAGTAAGTTGACTAACCAACACCACCTTTATTCTAATCACTAGAACTGTACACCTCACATCCCAGTTAAAGTTATTCAAAAAGCTAAGACCCAATAATTATGGGCCATTACTGAACTGTACAACTCACATCCCATTGTCAGGTTATTTAAAAATCTAAGACCCAATGAACGTGTTGACATTCCATCAATTAGGCACTAATTCACCAAAACTTGTATTAGTTTGTAGCAGGGGTAGAACCAGAAATTTTGATTTGGGGGCCGAACTAATATTATGTAATTATTATTGTTTTATTTTTTTACACCAACATTTTTATTTGTATGTGTGTCTCCTCACTTTAGGTCAACAAATGCATTGAAGCAAACATGAGATAAAAAATCCAGTGTTTCACTAAGATTGAGCAGTTTAAGCAATCCACGTAGACCAAAGCCTTGTCTCGAGGAGATAATCTGGTCAAAAATCGGCTAGGCCCAGAAGGGGACCTTCTTCTTATCAGTCAATTTGATATGCCCTACCATCAGACTCACATAAGCCCTGACTTGTGTGCGAGTGATGGTGGAGTAAGCTTCAGCTTCTGGGAATGGCCAGGGAGGGGTATAATTGGTAAAACCAAGGAATGGCCTTAAGAACTAACTGAAACTTAGTATCAAGGGCAACCACGCCATACTCTTGCAAAAGAGCTTCAATCTATCATCACCAGACTAAATACCAATACTTTCCTTGCTCCATTTGATTTCTGATCTACGACCACCCTTGCACAAACTCTAAAGAGGCATGAGATATCCATAGACGAACCTTCTTCATGCTCAGCCAAACAGTTCTTAATATAATTTTCTTCAAAATATTAGTCACAGTGTGTGTGTGTGTGTGTGTGTATATATATATATATATATATATCGAGAAAAATGCAACATAAATAAATAGAGATGAAAAACTGATTGAGAAAGAAAAAACATAGAGAAGAGGAAACGATAAGTTCCAGGTAAAAGAGAATAGGTAAAGAAAAAGTATTGTTAGAGAATCAATTTCCCCGCACCAATTGTTTAAATTTTTCAATATTTCAATTTCTGAAGAAACAAAAAATCGAGTACTTTGATTTCACTTTGGTAAAGATATATATCATTATTACCTTGATACTTACCAAAAAAAAATATTACCTTGAAGAAAATTTAAGAGAGAAAAAAAAAAAAAAAAAAAATTTAACTAAACAAAATCTCACAACCTTTAACAAACCACGAATATTAGGAACAAAACAAAGAAGCACGTTAATAACTTATACAATGAGTAATTATACAATTTGTTATTTAACAAGTGGTATTAGCATATATGCCCTCTTGTTTAATCTCACAAGACTCGTCAATGGAGGTTAATATATAATTCTAGATATTTTTCTTGTAAACACCATCTTACAAAAATGTCTGACAAAAAAGTTTTATGTATTTTTATTAAACAGGAGGGAACATTAGTGTAACTTTCTCCTGTTTCTCCCTTGAATTTATATATTAGACATTATACATGTGTAATTGTGGATATGGAAATGAAGTAAATTAATGATGTGCTGCGTTAAGGACTACAATAATAATGAACTTACATTTTATTTTTTCCATGGAGATAATGACTGACTTTTTTTCCCAGAAGGGTTGGGCTTTCAAAAGTGTGGCTAAGAGGATCCAAGTTGAAATTTTCTATGAGTTTTAAGAGACACGAGTTAAATTTATCTTCAAACTCACAATTAATGGAACAACAAATAAGATTTTTAAAAATATATATAAGGGTGGCAACAGAAATTTGTAATGAATTTTGGGGACCACTAGTTTAGATTTTTTTACACATAACTAAGAGGCCATAAACAATAATTTTCAAAATAATTTGGGAAGGGGAGGCATGCCTTTGCTCCGCCTCTGGTTTGTAGCATCAACAAAACCCTCCTCCAGTCCTACAATCAACCATGCTATCTCCTTTAAACATATATGAAAAATAAATAGCATTAAAAGAAAACCTTTTATCTTTAATTTTAACATTCCTCACGAACTTTATAAATACAAGGTGCCAAATTTAAAATTTAAATCCCATGAAAAGCTTTTCTCATTAGATATTTTCCTATTCACATTTGGAATCAAGTCATCTAGCTGTTATTCACCAATTGACCATCCATTTTGCATTGAGAGCCCTCCATTTAAATTATGGTAAAATGAAAAAAATATCAACTTCAATCTTAAAAAGAGCACACGGATAAAAGCCAAGCCTCCTTCCACACAAATCAGAGCACACAGATAAAAGCCAGAGTTCACATGTGGTATAGCAAAAGATAATCCACCTACTTGCTATGTCATCCACTCAACAAACCACAAACTCTCAACAAGTAGTCAAACTAGTAGCCCTTATAATTTCTGGCAAACATACTAGTAGCATTCTGAGATTATCTTCTATTTTGAAGAATCCTCTTGAAAGTTCAGCCTCAATTCACTTCCAAAAAGAGGGGAAAAAAATTTGAACCTCAATTATCAGCGGTGACATTAACTTCGAGCCAACTTTGAAAAATCTCCCCAAAGAGTAAGTTATGCTACAGGTTCCTCAAATTAAATTTCAGACATTATGAAAATTATGCTTATTCTTATGTAACTTATACGAGATGAAATCATGTAATACATTCTTCATAAAATGTCCAATAATCTGAAGCAACAAACTAATTGAACCCTCAATTCTTCACAAGCCACAGAAAGACTAAACACCAGAATTCTGATAAAGGCATCTTTGTTAACTTCGCTCTTTAATCTCCTAATTACTAACCAAATTGCTTCTAATTATAGCAAAAATTAGTCCTACTAACAAAAAAACGAATAGAAAGGTTCAAAAAATGTACTATATAACAAACCAATCATCACAAACCGCACTGCTTGTTGACAAATAGAGTATATTTACTATGAAAATGTCATTGAACAGAAAAATTTACCTCCGTGAACTTGTGAAACAGCTCATCCTCTTCCACCGGCCGATGGTGCCCTAACAAATGAATAATTTTCGCGAAGTAATGCAAGTAAACAACCAGTGCAGTCCCGTGAGCTGCCGCCGCCAGCGATCCGAACACCATCAAGACCCAATCGAAGCGATCGGCGCAGGCAAAGAGCCGCGAGAACGGCGCGGCCTCAGGGGGTGGCTCGATCTCCTCGGCGTCCTCGATCTCCTCGTCCACCTCCACCGGCACCGCCTCGATGCTCGACTCGAGGTACGGCGATGGAGACTCCGGAGGCTCCGACACCTCCGAGACCGGCGTCAGCGGCTGTATGTGTGGCGGCGACCACCCGAACAAGCCTCTCGAAACCATCATCTTGTGAATAATACAGATTACACTAAAACCACTCTCAAAACCCTTAAGCAATCAAAAGTGTGAAGGTATAGACTTAGCAGATGAGTAGATTATCAGATTCAAATGTGCTTTGTTGGTTTGATTGTGCGAGTGAGCAAATAGAGGCTGTGGTGGCGACTCGGTGTAGTCGATGACTCGGTCAATGAAGGCGGAGCGAACAGAGAGTTGACTCGCAAACAAAGGTGGTGGTGGTGGTGGGGGTCGTGGTTGTTAGGTTGATAAACGGGACGTAAACGGACGGCGACGTCTTCAGGTGTTGGTTTCTCTCTCTACTCTTTCTCTCTCTGTACTGTCTGTCAACGGTCGTCGGGGTTTAAAGCAGAAGAAATGTTTGTTTCCATTGCTCGCGCTGTACAGCTGTGTATGTTGAGAGTTGGCTGACAGGTGGCAGTTAGAGAGAGTTGAGTTGGTAAATGTATAATAAGTCTTTGAATGTATATTAAGTCTATGAAGACAGAGAGGAAGGGGACGCTAGTATTTGTGTATCCATTTTAAATATTCTCTGCAACATTGCAGCCCTTTTTCTTTCAAATGATTGATTTTGTAAAGAAAAAACATTTTATTGTGATGAGTCAGTCTATCATGTTCGTCTTATTGCATCTTAAGTAAGTTACACGGAGTATCATTCTTGCAAAAAAAAAAAAAATGTTTTATCATTCCTAAATTATAGGAGTATAAGAAATTTTTGGTGTTATTACATGGGCTTAATTAAGTCCAACCGACTTTATTGAGTTCAAACTACTTTTAGATTGAATAAGATTGTAAGGATTTTTTATTTTTTATAATTTTTTTTTTCTCTTTTTAATAAACAAACATCTCAATTAATTTGAAGATCATGCCTATATAAAGGTTGACATTTAAATACACTCCCTCTTCCATAGTAATAATCTCATTTGCAAAGTAAAACTTTTTCATGTGAGATGTAATTAATGTATTGTTTACTTTTAAAATTATCAAGTTATTCTTTTAAATTTGAATATATATATATATATATATATATTTGATAAGTACAAAAAAAATACTTGGACTTTTCACCTTAGACAAATATTGTGAGACAACTAATATGTGGGATAGAGTAGGGTATAGAATTCTTAGAGCATCTCATAATTTACCATTTGTTAAAAGTTTTATGAGAGTGGATAACAATAATAATCATTTTCTAACATATTTTTGACTATTGCGAATGGAGTAAGGCTTACGACATAGTGAACTGTTCTTTTCTGTGTAAATTTATGAGCCATTTGGGGTTTGATCAAGAGATGGGGTAAATTTAATGATGGAATGCATTAATACAGTTGCATTAAATGGTGAAGGTAATGATCGTTTTACTCCTTCCAGAGGCCTTTGTCAAGGTGACCCTATTTCTTTGTATTCTTTACCGAGAGTTTTTCCATGCTGTTTCATGAGTTTGAAAGAAGGAAAAAATCTTATGGGTCTCAAGATGGGTAGAGGTTGTCCTTCTATTACTCATTTACTTTTTGCAGATGATGCCCTATTGTTATGTAAAGTTAAAGATTCAGAGGTGCCAAGTGTGAAAGTTATCCTTGACAGATATGAAGCCTTAACAAGACAAATTGTTAATCTGGACAAATCTTGCATTTATTTTTCTCCTAGCACTTCCAGCCCAAAAAGCTTGTTGTCGACAAACGGTGGGCATTCATAATGTTGATTGGTGTAATAGATATATTGGTTTTGTTGGGTTTGCGGCTTAAAATTTGTACAGAAAATTAGTTTCCTTTTTCATTTTGAAAGCTGCGAGAAACAGTTTCCTGATTGGTTTTGGAATCCAGAAGACTTGGGGAAAAAGGCTGAAGATTTGGGAAAGAAGTTATACTTGCTATTTTAGAGTTGAAGATGGATATAGTAACTCCTTGTAGGTAAACTGATCATTGTCCAACAAGGAATTGGATTTGAGGAATACTTGTCTAACAAGGAATTAGGTTTTGAAGACTCTATAAATAGAGATGGGTATGAGGGGTTTAGAGAGAGAGAAAAAAAAGATGTAGAGGGTTTAAGGGTGAGAGTTATGAGGAGATGGAAGAGTATATGTAATTCCCGGGTGTATACATGTAGCATCAAAAGAGATGATAAATGAGTGAGTGGGGTTTTGACATGTGGTTGTATATTCTTTTTCTTAATTCATAATAGTGAAATCTCTCTCTCCCATGGACATAACCCTAGAGTTAGGTGAACCATGTAAAATATTGTGTTGTGCGTTAATGTGTATGATTGTTATCTCCATATATGTTTGTGTTAATGTGATGTGATGCTGCTTCCGCTGTGTGTGATGAAGGAGGGATTTAACTCTCAACAACAGCCGACTGTTGAGTGGGTTGGAGGGAGTTAATTATCCATAACAACTGGTATCAGAGCCGATGGTGGGTCAGAGCCTGTGATTGGTCATGAAGATCAGTAGAAGAAGATTGCTGCGAAGTTTGTCAAAGCAGAGGATGATAGTGAGGTGCTATGGAGATTCAATCAAAGTTGATGATGATACGAATGTATGAAGAAGGTGATGGTGTGAAGCCCATAAAGAACAAGGCTTGTGACAAGCCAGAGGATGCTCGTTTTCAAGATGGGGCAAAGGTGATAGAGTTGAAGCCCACGAGAAACAAGTTTTGAGGATAAGTCAAGAGTGGGTGCTAGTTCTTAAGATGGGGCAAGGGGTATGAAGAATGAAGGGGTTTGCTCTAAGCCCGATAAAGAGCAAAGAGGAATATGAAGAGGAGAGGTTTGTTACTTTAAACCAGAAAAGCAATTGATGAAGATGAGTTGAAGATTGGTGGGTTGTCATGCGTAAGCAATTGAACACCAACGGGGTGGATAGATAAGATAGAGAAAATTAAGAATGATGAATTTGAGAAAAGGTGGAGATTGTTAGAGTGTTTCTTAAGTTCATCATAGTGCTTTATTTGAGGTGGAGAAATCTTTAGTTGAGGTGGAGTTGTGAAGAAATTCTTATTCAAGGTGGAGCTATGGAGAAGCACGTAAAGATTGAATTTTGAGCTAAGGTGGAGATAGTTGGGTTTGTGGCTCAAAATTTGTGTGTAGAAAATTAGTTTCCTTTTTCATTTTGGAAGCTGCAAGAAACAGTTTCCTGATTGATTTTGGAATCCAGAAGACTTGGGGAAAAAGGCTGAAGATTTGGGAAATAAGCTATACTTGCTATTTTAGAGTTGAAGATGGATATGGTAACTCCTTGTAGGTAAGTTGATCCTTATCCAACAAGGAATTGGATTGAGGAATACTTGTCCAACAAGGAATTGGATTTTGAAAACTCTATAAATAGAGATGGGTATGAGGGGTTTAGAAAGAGAGAGAAAGAAAAGAGAAAAGATGTAAGGGGTTTAAGGGTGAGTGCTATGAGGAGAGTGGAGAGTATATGTAATTCCCGAGTGTATACATGTAGCCTCAAAAGAGATGATAAGTGAGTGAGTGGGGTTTTGACACGTGGTTGTATATTCTCTTCCTTAATTCATAATAGTAAAATCTCTCTCTCCCATGGACGTAACCCTAGAGTTGGGTGAACCGTGTAAAATATTGTGTTATGTGTTGATGTGTATGATTGTTATCTCCATATATGCTTGTGTTGATGTGATGTGATGATGCTTCCGCTGTGTGTGATGAAAGAGGGATTTAACTCTCAACAACAACCGACCGTTAAGTAGGTTGGAGGGAGTTAATTATCCCTAATAAGTCTCCCATCCCTTTTGGACAGGTCCAAAGTTGTGGTGCTCAATTTCATATCGGAGAGAGTGTCTCATCCAAGACTAAGTTGTTGAAAAGCAAGGTGATGTCGAAAGTTGGTAGGGAAGTGATGGTGAAGTTGGTCCTCTTAAGACTCCCAACCCATTTCTATGCAATGTTTTAAGCTCCCAAAGTAGAATTGCAAGAAGTTAAACAACATTTTTCTAAAAATTTAGAGTGGTGAAGAAAGGACCAACAAACTCAATTGGATTAGCTGAGATAAAAAATCTGCAAATCCAAAAGTAATGGCGATTTAGGCTTCAAGAATGTCGAAGCTTTCAATTAGACTCTCCTCGTGAAATTAGCATGGAGGATGGAGATTGGCGATGAGTCCCTGTTATTCAAATATTTTTTTTTATTTAAAAAAAAAAAGTATTTCAAAAATTGTAACTTTGTTGATGCCTTAAACTAGTCCGGTGTTTCTCGGGTTTAGAAAAGTATCATTTCGGATCGAGAGGTCATCAAGAGAAGTATGAAGTGGCGCATTGGTAACTATTTGCTGGTCAATTGTTGGAAGGATAATTGGCTTCTAGATGCCTCTAATTTTGCTATTACATTTAAGATTTATGGGGTTAATTTTTCCTCTATTGCGGATCTTATCAATCAATCCACTCACAAATGGAATTATGGTTTGGTGGTCAGCTCTTCTACTAGTGGGATAAAGAGCTCATCCTTCAAATTCCCTTAAGTTCTTTAGGGAGTGCTGATTGTAAGGTTTGGGGTGCCTCAAAAGATGACAAATTTTTAGTTAGGAGTGCTTATCATGTTGCTCTATCAGTTATCAACAAAAAGTCGGACAAATTTTCAGATGTTGGATGTAGCTTTGATGCGGTCAGAGGTCTCATGTGGAAACAGTTATGGTTTTCGTTCTCACAAGAAGATTCAATTATTTTTATGGTAATATCATCACGAGAGAATCCTAGTGAACAACAAGCTTTTATTGCGTGGAATTTCTCAGATGTCTTCTTGCCCTTTGTGTGAGAACTATGTCGAGGCGGTAGACCAGCTCCTTTTTACATGTCATTTTGCTTGTGTGGTTTGGAAGCTTACCCCTCTTAAGATTGACTTTCTTGGCCAGTTCCCCATATTATGGCGAAAGTGTTGGGTTGATCTTTGTGCTCGTTGGAACAAGACTGAGGATTCGATGACTGCACCAGTTTGGCAGCCTTCATTTGTTGGACTATTTGAAAATGCAGAAATGACCTTATTTTTAAGCAAAAAAAGGTGGGATCCATTCGATGCAACCCATAAAGCTCTTGTAAATTTTTGAGAGTTCAAGGAAATTTCCTGGCAAAATCGGATGCTCTCTCTTCTCCCTCCTCCTGCTTCTACGTGCGAGACGTGGACTACGCCGGATGTGGTTATTCTAAAACTCAACTTTGATGTTGCTTTTAATTCATCTAAGAAGGCCTGTGGAGGCGGTTTGATCTTTAGAAATCATCTTGGCCAGCCCATTAAGGTCGCCTCGGTTTTTCTTGACAATGTTAGTGGTCCTTCGCTGGCTGAAGGTCTCGTTCTTTGAGAATCTCTTGTTCTTCTTAAAAGCTGAGGCAACTATGATGTGGTGGTTGAAGGGGACTCTCAATTTGTGATGAAGTTGCAGGTATCTGTTGAAGCTTTAACGGTGATTTTCAATGATGTTAAACCTCTTTTGAAGGACTGTGGGGCTCTTCCCATGTTTGGATTCCTCGTGGTGGAAACGCTGTAGCTAACGTGTTGAGCAAGAATGTAGGGCTCTTCTCATGTTTGGGTTCCTTGTGGTGGAAACGTTGTAGCTGATGTGTTGAGCAAGAAGGAATGTGGTGACGTCAAGTTGAGCATCAGCCCCAATTGCTGTTAGATGCTCTCTTTCCGGACTGTATCTCGTTTCTCATGAATGATATTGTTTGCTTCTTGGTGTCAAAATAATAATAATAATAATAATAATAATAAAATGAGGTCTCCAACAAAAACAAAAACTTTTCAAGCCAAACCTAAATAATACTCCCTCCGTCCCACCCAATATAAGTGTTACTTATGAGGAGTAGTAATTTTTAAGGGGACATGTGAAATATATATTGTCTGTCTAAAATATTACTAACTTGCCCTTTTAAGTTTTGAATATTCAAGTTTGAAATTTAAATTCAAAAGACATTTTTGGAATGATGTGAAATATATTGTTTGAAAAAAAAAAATGGACACTTATTTTGGAACAGACAAAAAAAGAAAGCATGACACTTATTTTGGAACGGAGGGAGTACTAATAACATAATAATAAATGTCTAAAATTTTTAGCTTAAACTTAACCCAGTTGTTCAAGTTGACATTTTTATTACCTAAACAGAGATGTTGACAGAGTGGGCATGGGACACCACATCCTCGTTCCAAATTCATCTCACCAAGAAAAAGATAATTGAAACATCTCAATATAATTCTCAACAAAATCAAAAAATATATATATTTAAAAAAAAACAGATTCAATATCACCAAATATTTAACAAATATAAACTTCATAAATTTCCTAGTCACATCATGAAAAATATATATATAAAAAAAAAAAAAAATCATATTTGTACAAGGCTAAAAACTAAATGGGGATGGATTTTAACTTCCATTTTCCAACCTAACCTCTTGTAGGCATGGAAGTATTTATTCACATTATTGTTGTTCCAAACAAGAAAACCTAAAGCTGTAACAACCAAAAAAAAAAAAGAAAAAACCAGAATACCCAAAGTGTAATCTAGTTCAATGCAACAATCGGAAGAAAAGTTAAGCTTTAATCTCAGAACAATTCAACCAAAACATAAAACCAACTACAAAAGTGTGCTTCACAAATCTGTTTCTCAGTATTTAACTCAAGCTAGACACCGAGATGCTAAAAAAAAGGACCAATCATTAAGAGGCATTTTCAGATCCTCTGATTTGGTCAACCTTTGATAAATAGATCTTCCTTCAGCAATAATTTCACTATAGAAACAAACTGGAGGAAAATGCAACACATTCAAGAAGGTAAATGCTAAAGTGCCACACAGTTCCAAAGTTAAATATTTAAATCCAGCAAATCAAACAAAAACTGCATTGCTATTCAAAAGACAACACAACTAGCAAAACTGTCGCAGAGAAATAAAATGTCTTTTACAAGGAAAACAAGACAATTCAAGTTTAACTTAGATAATGCCAATCTTGTTGGCCACATCCAAGGCATCATAGTCTGGAGTCAATCGAACGTAAGCCTTCTTGGTTCCGTCAGGCCTGAATCACAAGAATACAATGAGGGTTATTCAGGTTCAGAAAAATGCCGTATAAAAAGAAAATAGCATTGGGGTTGCCGCGGGGAACAGAAAGAGAACTACATTTTCAGATTATTGATATTTCAATCAATGCCAAGGTGTTGATTACTCAAACCGAGCAAGTGTTTTGTCTGAATTGCACAAACTGATCTACCAAAAGATTCATTCCTCATAAAACAACTCCAATGAGCGCAAAAATCTGAACAAAAGAATAATACCACCTGTCTCCAAAATCCTGACAACTAGTACCAGTTCTAGCAAATATTGGGGTTTTGGGGGGGGGATGACAGAAAGTGAACTACATTTTCAGATTATTGATATTTCAATCAATGCCAAGGTGTTGATTACTCAAACCGAGCAAGTGTTTTGTCTGAATTGCACAAACTGATCTACCAAAAGATTCATTCCTCATAAAACAACTCCAATGAGTGCAAAAATCTGAACAAAAGAATAATACCACCTGTCTCCAAAATCCTGACAACTAGTACCAGTTCTAGACCATACTAAGTATGATGGGAAGTGTGTGTTGAAGTACTTCTAGAACAGATAAAATCTTGTCGGTGGATAAGTGTGCTAATATTATGGCTACCTGATCAAAGTGTTCACTTTCTTGGTCTGAATGTCATACATCTTCTTCACTGCAGCTTTAATCTTTTTCTTATCAGCACGGATGTCAACGATGAAAACTAGGGTGTTGTTATCCTCAATCTTCTTCATTGCAGATTCAGTGGTCAGTGGATATTTGAGTATTTGATAGTGGTCCAACTTGTTTCTAGGAGGAGCACTGATGCGTGGATACTTGGGGTTCCTGTCCTTTTTCAATGTCCTCGGCCGGTGAAAGGTAACTGATGTTCGGATCTTCTTAACTTTCTTCTTGATAGTTGAACCCGATTTCACAGCCTTAGCAGTCTTCAAGGCCTGTGCCTTTGGATCAGCCTTTTTTGTACTGTCAGCTGTAATAAAATGAAAGCTCAACAATACGTAAAACAGCAAGACAACAGCAGGGAAGCCATGTATAAACAATCGGGCAAAAGAGGTTTCACTCCTAAAACATAACCAATGGCTCAATCAGGGGACGCAGGACCTAACTTTCATGCATACGGAGGCTGACTTTTAGCCATCTTCTTATTTTTATTTTTATTTTTTTTTCCGAAACACTATGACCTCAAAAGCAGCAACCAGTAAACAATTAAAAAATAAAAAGGTAAACCCAAACAGTAACTTGAAATAGCATTTGCTTATAAAAGGATTTCAATCAGAACCTGATTGCATTATAGACAATCATGGCACTAAACAGGCCTTCAATTGCCCCAATGTCCATCTAAATAATACAAGTCCTAGTTAAACATCAATATCTAAATCAAAGAAGAAAAGATACGTTCACATATTACATGTATAACATGTACAAATAGACAGCAGATACAAATCACGAAACATCAGGATACAAACACAGACACAGTGACGTATTTAATAAACACGCAAGTTTCTTAGAGAAGGGCATGCTTGTTAATGAAAGAGTCCAAGGCTCCTAGCCATATATTATCGTGTCAGATGCAAAGACCTGCTAACGGCGTGTCCATGTTATTTAGCTCTAAATAATCCTCTTGGGGGAATATGTCCGTCTAAGAAGCACGGACACGGATACGACACGACACGGACACGGTGACACGGCAAATCCCAAAAAATTAGGACACGGACACGGCGAATAGTGTATATATATATATATATATATTCCAACCTAAACATATCAGTGTTTTTTTAAAAAAATTATTATTAATGCTTTTTTTAAAAAAATTATTAATGCTGATATATATATATATATATATATATATATATATATATCACTGATATGTTAGTATATATATATATATCAGCATCTTTAGGACACGGAAACGGCGAATTGTGGCATCTTTATGTTGGTATATATATATATCAGCATCTTTAGGATAGTACAAAACAAAAAATAGAACATATCAGCATTAAAATTAAAAAAAAAAAAAATTAACATATCAGCATTAAAAATTAAAAAAAAAAAAAAAAATCCAGAAAAGTGTGTCCGAGCTGTGTCCGAGCTGCCTGAGCCGTGTCCGAGCCGTGTCCGAAAATTAAAAAAAATAAAAAAAATTCCAGACACGTTTTTTGGCGTGTCCGACATGTGTCGGGGCATGTCCGATGCGTGTCCGTGTCCGACACGTGTCGGACATGGATTCTTCGCCCATTTTGAAGTGTCCGTGCTTCCTAAATGTCAGTGTTCTCTAGTTCTAAATACTCCTCCTGGGACACGTCCCATTCTCTAGGTCTACATAATTCACAAAATCCAGAAATTTTCTACTATGTGCATATACTCCCAATCAATTATTGGAGATGTTTAGCATTAAACCATATCCTATTTTCAACATAGAAATACATGACCCAGAATTATCATGTCACTCCTATCCCACGTCTCCAATTGCGTCCAATTTATTTTCTTTTAGGTCAAATTTTGGGTGCTTCTCATAGATCTTGTCCAGCACAATTCATGCTCATTCTTACTAAGACGAACAGAAACTGCACAAGGATTGAGGTTCAACGCATCTGTAAAGCATTTAACTTTTTCTCTTACATAGTAACCCACTAACCCCTGGTCCCGACCATGTCCCTCTTCTATGGCAGATTTTTAAAATAAAATGGTCACAATGAAGATCATTGCTTCAAAAACTCTTGAGTTTCTTATTTCCCTCAAAAAAATTATTGAAATGGGAATATAAGCACATATGCAAACTACAAACTAACAACTGCTTTACTCATTATATCTCTCCACCAGCTAATGCTTCTTAATCCATACAATGTCAACAACAAATTACTCATTAAAGAGGCCTATTACAAAACCACCCCACCAATAATCCGTGAAGTCTTAAAATGGCAAAAAAAAGAAAAAGAAAAAGAAATGAAACCTAATTCTCTATCGTCTAATACCTTATAAACCAATATAACACAAGAATAGGAAATTCTTTCAATACATACCTTTAGGAGCCATTGGTGATCACTGTTAAACACGCCCAGACTAACCTAATTAAACCAGTAAAATCACAACCACAAAAATGAACATTGTTAGTACTTTGAAATTGAAAATAGATTCAATATCGACTCAATTACAACATCTCTAACAAAATTTCTGATTCATTTTCGAACTACGCATTCGATAAATACAGACCAACATACAGATCTACAATACACAGATCCTGATACACATACGTATAATATATATATATATAGATATTGGGAGTGATCTATAGCTTTAACACAAAATTCTAAAGCAAATCGAAGAACAAATGACACTAACCTGAATTGCAGCGGCTGTCGAGTAGGGTTCTAAAGAATTAAACACAGCTTATATAGTCGCTTAATTACCGAAATAGCCTTATTTTTCTTCTTCTGTTTTCTATTTTGGTCCTCACCTATTGAATATGGGCCGGCCCATTACGACATACAAAGAAGTAGATCAACTTGTGAGTTTGGGCTGTGTGTTAAATCGTGTCGCTTTGCTTCTCTTGTAAGTTTGGGCTTATTTTTTTTTTCTGTTAAGTAATGCAGATAAGAATTTATGTTTTGTTTGAAAAAAAAGGGATGGAACATGCTTTCAAGTTTTGTCATTTGATTGGAGGGAAAGAAAGAGAGGAAGGGATGGAAGAGCAAGCATTCCTTCAGGCAAAATTTTTTTATTGGTCCAAAATTGAGTGAAAAAGAGGAGGAAAATAAAGAAAAATTGTCCATAAATATGGAATACCATTTTCGCTTTCAATTTTTCACAAAATCACTTTATTACTATTTTTGTAGGTTTATATATTGAGGATATATTGGTAAAAAATATATAATTTCTCATTTCTTTTCCCTCCAAATAAAAAAATCAATTTGTCACCTCATTCGTATTTTTACTATTTCTTTCATTTAACTAAACAAGAGTGAATATTGAACCTCATTCGTATTTTTACTATTTCTTTCATTTAACTAGGGTAGTTTATCCATCCCTCTTTTTCTCCCTTCCATTTATTTTTTTCATTCTTCCCACCAAATAGAGTATAAAATATTGAGAAAACTAAAAGTTGGTGGAGTTACGGCCATTAAATTAAAATTTTTTTTTTATTTTATTTTTTATAACAAAAATAAAGTCAAGAAATGTATAATAGATGATTATTTATTTTTTCATCGGTTCAAATTGGGCGAAAAAGAGGAGGGAAATAAAGAAAAATATCTAACGATGTTAGGATTTAAGCACTTATTAGTACATCAATTACGCAATTATGTTATATTTCGAGAATAAATTCATGCATTGGTGCACCTATTATAACAAAAAGTAGCAATAAATTTGTATATTATGTAACATTGCTCATAGTGGCCAAAAAAAAAAAAAAAAATTTTATAGCATTTTAATCATTTTGCTTCAAAGCTTAAATAACAAGATGGAGAGAGAAAATACGTTGAGTAAAAAGTAATAAAAATGTGCACTTTTACTACATGAATCAATGAGTTAAGAGCTAGGCAGCATCTATTAAGTATTTTCTGATCCAAATCTCTCAGCCATCTCACCACCGTAATCAAAACACTTTCTTCACTTGATGTATTTCTAACTAGTGAGTGAGTGCTAGAAGGTCAAATATTCACCAAAGTCTAAGCCAAACTCACAACACAATGCACACAATTGAAAGGCACATTGACATTATTGCACAATATTCTCAACCTTCATAATATTATTTACAGAAATTTTTACAAAAAATAATTTGAACTAATCGTGGGTGGACAACCAAAATATATGAACATTTTGATTCTATGAATAATAATAATAATAATTTAAAATAATAGAGGTTTCCATTTTTCCTTCTAGAGGAATTATTTTATAATTTCCGTGGAATCTAAATTTCACAACTAGTATGATCTGGGCATGTGTATAATTGTGATAAAACAATATATTACACATTTACCATGAATCTCATAAATAAAAAATCTTTTTTCACATTATCATTGTCTGAGCTAAATAACTATTACATGGAAGTCAATTCTAATGTCAATTTTTTAATTTTTTTTTTTCCTTTCAATATCAATATATATCTAACTTGTTTTATTGATTCTTTCTTTTATAAAATTTCGATAAATTGAAATATTGAAGGAAATTAAAATTAAATTATTGGATCACTCTTTCACGATATTTTGTGATTTAATTAACTTTAAATGTATTCTCATAGTGGTTCTACTAGAGGATAAAGTTGTTAAATGAGAAACATATATATACCGTTTTCATTTTTTTTTAAGTTGACAAAGAAGTAAAAACTTAATAGTTATTTTTATTAAATATTTTTCATTAATAACCTCTTAAACCTCGGACAATTGAAGCAATCAATATTGTTTTTTTTTTTTTTTAGCAACATTTGTATACCATACATTCTTCTTCAAAGCTTATGCATTTCTATTTAAATGCGTATCTAATGTAGGCTTCACTAATGGGGACGAGAGCCAAACCCAAACAGACTCCATTAAATATAGCCAAAGAAAGACATCTTGATGCATGAATGGTAGAGTTAAAAGAGGGAATTGGATTGGTAGATTGAGGGAGCAACGTACCAAAAGGAACAAGAAGAAAATATAAGATCAGCAATAATATTTATTTGAGAAACTATGAGGGTGGAAATTCAAAAACTGATATTAATTAGCAACGACAAGTGAAACATCACATGAATATTCATTATATCAATGCTAAACTAGGTCATACAATATTTAGTAGCGGTGCCAAAATGGTTAAAAACCCATCAATCCGTCCACATATGTCCCTTTTTTTAATGAATTTGAGTGAACCATATTTAAAGTGGGTCAAAAATAAATTGGAGAATTTTTCACCAGTTGAAAGTAAAAAAAAAAGAAAAAGAACAGATTGTTTTTCCTATCCTCCCACCTAACAGATTGTCAATTAAAAATCTTTAGCAGTCTAAATTAAATCAAATCAAATCTTTGATAAGTCCATGTAGCATTTTCTTCACTTGGGTGTATTTCAACCTGTGGAATGGCACTTGGAGGCCACCAAGTCTAGACAAACTCACAACACAATTGAAAGGCACATTGAAATTACACGGCAACAGTGCCAACCTTCATAACCTTACACAAATATTAGAACATTTTGATTTTATCAAATAATAATAATAATTAAAAAATATTGGAGGTTTCCATTATTTCTTAATCTCTTGTTTTATGACTTATCTGGAATCTAAATTTCACAACTATGACATGCACTTGTATATAACTTATGATAGAACAAAATCTCACACATTTACCATGAATCTCATGAATGAAAATCTTTTTTATCTATAAAATGAGCTAAATGACAAACTTAATTCTATTATAAGGAACTCAATTTTACCGAATTAAATATATAAATTGAAATATTGGAAGAAATTCTTTGATCTTTTTTCGAGAATTAGGAATTCAGTTACTTCAAAATGTATTCTGTAATTCGCTTGTAATATAATTCGGGTGCTATCTATTCTGTAATTGGGTTGTAATATAATTGGGGGGTAATGGCACCTAAACCCTACTTGTGAATGTAAAAATGGAAACTGGGATAGAATTCTGTCTCTCTAAAATTTAAATGGTTGACACTTTTTTGTTAATGGGTTGTTGGATTTTATATTGATTAGTTTCACATATTCAATCTTTTAACTATATATATATACTGTCTTTAAATTTAGCCCAAGACATTCTGATGCACGAAGGTCAGAGTTTAGAAAGGGAATTGGAATCCTAGATTGAGGACCAAATTGACTAGGACAACAGGAACAGTATTACAACAGAAAAAGAAGAGGAACAATGCACCAAAAGCAACAAGAAGCAAAAGAATAAGAACTTCATAAGATCGAAATTTAGAGCAAGTATAAAAATACAAGATCAACAGTAATATTTATCTGAGAAACTATAAGGAAGCATATTCAAAAACTGATATTAGTAAGAGAGGTGAAATATAAGTGAATACTCATTATTTCAGTGCTAAACTAGGTGATACAACACCAATTAGAGTGAACAAGTTATGACGTGTGCTATTGTGTTTAAGTATTTGAAAGTTGGATGCTAAGTGCTTCCATAACTAATAATAAATAATAAATTGATTACAATTCTTATATCAATAAATGCATATTAGAAATTGTTTACTATTTTTATCGTCTCAACTGAAAGAGGATGAACATCTCTTGCTGTGTAAACTACAGCAGCCAAAAAAACATAGATTCAGCCCAGAAAAATAAAATTAAGTAGAAATGATGTCTGTTGTCAAACTACCTCCAAAAGCTTTGCAGCTCCACCATCATCCTTGACCCACTTCTTCCCAAAGAAGACATAAGTGAGGGCTGCCTTTGAGTGTAAAGAACCCTTCAACAATTTCAAAACCTTAAAAAATAAAAAATAAAAAATAAAAAATTGAAGGAAAAATACAATTAGCCTTATAAATACATGACAGAGGAGAAAGATTTTTCTTGTTAGTCTCCGGCCAATTAATATAAGGTACTCCAAGACTAGCATAAGCATTTATGGTAGAACCAACGGTCAAGATGAAATTAAATGGAATATCAAGATTAACAATACTCAAATCAGATGAGAGCAGTAAAAGCACAAAAAAGAAAATTATATGAGACGGTGCAACTACAAATTTTCTTAATAATTTTAGTGGGAGCAATAATAGAATTTTATAGTTATAGTGTATAATTCAAAAAAAAAAAGAAAGTTAGTAAGGGTATAATACTATATATATATAGGTCCCTCCCTGTCATCAAGTGACTATTGCCTATGATAGGTCCCTCCCTGTCATCAAGTGACTATTGCCTATCATACGCCCCTTCTTTTAAAATCATTTTACGGGAGTTAACCTTTTAAAAGTGACCATACATTTCAGTCAAGTTTTACATTCTCTTTATGTTTTTATTTTTATTTTTATTTATTATCAAATTTACCAAACTGAAGATTCCTTTTTTTAAACCCCTAGTTGATATTTTCTATTTAAACAAATGAGAAAGTATCAGTAGCAGTACGGTACAAATCAAACAACCCTGGGTGATGAAGATTCATCTTTCAATAGCTTCGAGATGTTTTATTTTATTTTTATGTTATAATAGACCATTTTGATACAAGCAACGTGATTATGTGATTGTTTGCTTGAATGTTAGATAAGATTTGTGGTCTGATTTCTCTATTTTAAAGGAACGGAGCAATATTGTCGGTGAGTGCTTATTTGAACTTAAAAAAAAAAAAAAAAAAAAAAAATTGAATTTTTTATAAACTAAAATAATAGTTTATGAAAGAACCTTTCCCTTGAAAATAGCAGAACTGTTCTAACCTCGTCTCCTTTGTATATAATAATATGTGCAAT